CTACTATTTACCTATAGCTGAGGGAGAAGAAGAGTCCCAAGCACGTAAGTGAATGTAATGGATTCGACTGGAATTCGAACTCGGCTCTCCGATTCCCCAACCGAGTGCTAAGATCAGCTAATCCTATTTCCAGTATAAAACCACAAATGGGGTCTGTGGGTGTTGAACAAATAGAAATCTGTCTGAGGAGGTGTCTACAAATGGGATTGGTTAGCCGCCCTAGCAGACCGGCGTGTTCAGAAACGAGTATCCGCCGGTTATTGTGTGTTATTAAACACTAAAATCTACCGGATACAAGACACGAGACCTCATCAAGATAGACGGGTGAAGATAAAAAATATCGCCTGGCCACTGATTTAAGGGGTTGAGATTGTAATGTTCAAGGAAGTACCCACCCGGGAGTTTGTTCGAGTTCTTCGGGAATAAAGGCCCCACAATGGATCTCTGCTTACTGTTGTAATACGGAGAAATGAGGCTGATTCAACTCCGCCGTTCTGGGTATGACGATAAACTACACCCAACGTGGAGCATGGAACTAACCTTAACTGCTTTTGTCCACAGGTCTACTCAGACCCGGAGTGGTAACACCTGTTAGGGTCCCAGATATGGGTACATAGTGAGATTCCAAACAAAAGACGATGGTACATTACTTTTTTTATAATAAATTGACAACAATCCTTTTTTTATAGCAAAATGACAATAAGTGCAACACAAAAAACAGAAAATACATTTTTATAGTAACATTACCAATAAATTTTATGATGTAGAAATTTATATATATATATATATATATATATATATATATATATATATATATATATATACCCTATAAGTATAAAATTATGTACAAAATATCTGTAGTTGCAAGCATATAATTTTATTAAAATATTTAGATTTCGACCTTAAATAACCCATAGAGGTATTGATATGCCACTAAACAAAATTAACCAACTAACCAATATTTGACACCGGGAAAGTAGCATGGCATATTCCTAGTATTTGGTATCTGAACTGATAGTAGTCCTGGGCATGACGATAAACTACATCCAGCAGTAAAGCCACTGATAGGGATGTTTGGTTAAGCGTGAAATCACCTCTGAATTGCTGTTTTTCCCAGGTCCATCCTATCCGGAGTGGCAGCACCTGTTACCCTCCCAGCTATGGCCAAATAGTGTACCCGAAAACGAAACTATAAATACTATGAAATTATAATATATTTATAGTAAAAACGACAGCAATGCATTTTCTATATAAAAAATAATACCAAAAATACATATTTATGATAAAATTACCAACAGTACATTTTATAGTGGAATTACCAACAATACATTTCTAGAAAAAAGACTAACAATACATTTCAGCTTTAGTTGAAGAAATAAAATTGCGCTCAAAATATATTTAGTTGAAGGCATAAAATTGTATTCAACATATTTAGATTTCGACGTTAAATAACCCATAGAGGTATTGATATGCCACTAAATAAAATCAACCTAACAAACAATCAACGTGAAAGAACTCTGTCATGACATTTATCCATATAATATCCTACAATTTCTTAACGAAATCAAACTGTATTCGAAAATACAACAACAAAACTATAACATAAAGCACACCTATCACCCAACCCTAGTAATCATATCCCCACAAACATGCACGTGCATGAATGCTGAGCATCATCTGCCATGTATTCGAGTGTGAAAACAGAATAACAATTTTATTATTTCACAGCTCCACAAAAAATTAAAATTCGTCATTAAATGACCCATAAGTTAAACAAAATATATCAAACAAATCAATCAAATAAAAAATATTGTGTCCCCAATGAGGATAACAGTAAGCTATACATATATTTCCTAAACCTCTGGTACAAGGCAACAAACTGAATAGCCAACCTAAAGAAGATGGTGCATAATTCATGACGCTAACATCTTTTTGCGTAGGGATGGATCTTTTTACTGTAGTTACAGATATTTCTTAAACTTGTCTTCCCCTGGAAGAAGGCTATAATTGAGACCCCCCAATAAGGATAGATATATTTCTATTACTTATATTCGTCTGGCACAAGACAACAAATGAGAATAACCCTTTACTGTAGTTACAGATAATTCCTGAACATTTTTTTCGCCGGGCACAAGGCAACATGTATTGTATCTTCATTGAGGATGGAAGTTTTTCACGAGTTATATATATATATATATATATATATATATATATATTGGTTAAATTTCTGTTACAAGGCATCAAATGAGGAGCCTGAAAGAGGATGGATTTTTTTCAAGAAATTATAGATATTTTCTGACGTTAACAATTTCTGGCACAAGAATGGACATTTCTTTTATGGTTTCTGTTATTTCTTAAAATAGCCTTCTTCTGGCCCGCAATCAGAATAGATATCCACTAGAGTTACAAAAAATTTGAGGCCACCCCTAGTAATAATGTTTTTAATTAGCCCCAAAAGTAGTTTTTTTGTTTTTTTTTATTTTAAATAAGAGATAATTATTATACATTGTTTAAAAACGGTGAGACATGATTGTTTTATTAGAAACTAGCAGTAGAGCCCGGCGTTGCCCGGGGATGTAACAGTAAGAGATAGATCAAGTATCGACCATCATAAAGACTGAAAAATAAAATTGACAAAGATTATTGTTTAAGGTTGACGGACACGCATGTCTTAATTAGTTTTTTTTTATTTTTACGAATTGGTGAAACCCAAACTCAAACAAAAACATTGTTTTCAGTCGTTATGAGTCTATCGATTGAATAGAATTTTTTATAAATAGTTGTCTTATAAATGGAATTTTTAAAGCATTCTGAATGTAAAAATAAAGAAAAAAGTGCGCAAGAGAATAAGAAACACTACCTGCCAAAAGAAAAAGTGATGTTTTGTTGAAATCGGTTGAAAAATGTAAGAAATCCGATCCCATATATAAACGAACACAGACACACACAAAGAACCTAGGTTTTATAATAATTATAACTCGATATGAGTTGTCCCCCTTTCATTCTGGCGACTTAATCGTATTTTCAAATTGATTTCGTGCAAAAACAATTGTGTTTTTCCAATTTTTGGCGCTGTCAGAACCACCGCAAGGTAATTTTACGTAGTTCTGTGAAGTTTTGTTGAAATCGGTTGAAAAATGTAGGAAATCCGATCCAATATATAAACGAACAGACACAGACACACACACACACACACACACACACACACACACACACACACACACACACACACACACACACACACACACACACACACGAAACCTGGGTTTTATAATAAGTATGATTTAATCATGACAAATCAAAAATAAAAAATTCATGATTAAATTTCGGTCCTCAAAATATCCTCTTTTTGGTGTGATTACTTCAGTATAATTTTTTGGCATCCGTTGCAAAAGTTTCTTAAAGTATAAGTTTAATAATTGTTTCAGTTCTTTCTTCTATGACACTAAGAACTCTTTTTCATTTTTTTGCTCTTCTGTCAAGTTCTTCCCATTCTATTTCTGTGTCTTGCTTCAAACTTTTGAACTCTAGTGTATTTATATTAGTTATATTCTATAAGAATAATTCGCTAGTCATTATTCTTCAGCGATAAATCTGATTTTACGTATCTCTTCCTATTCTCGCATGTCAAGAGTGAGTCCAAGATTCGTTTCCAGGCTGCGAAATTCAATTAACCTCCACTGTTTTAGTTACGATAGCTATATCATAATATATGCAGTTAAATGCACACGTTGTCGCTGGCTTTTATCTTTCGCTCGCAAATGGAATGCCATAAATTAGCAAAACGTTTACATTATACAAATAACAGTCCTCTTCTGCCAGAAGACTCGCATTCATTCGAAATCAGTGGCAACGATCTCTTCCTTCTTGATTTTCAATGTTATTTCTATAGTAAAATCAGTTAGGATGTGTTATTTATGCATTAAGCATATGAATATAAATTTCTTATTTGCTCAGTAACGTTAACTCATCATGATTCGATCTCTTCTTAATTTCCCCTGGATTTCCATTGTAAAATCCGCGTAATACATTATATGACAACTGACTCCTTTTGTAAGTACCTTACTCCGGTTGTCATGCTATATCTTTTAAAAAGCCAGATCAGATCAAAAATGGAGTACCATTCCTAATATCTGGACTGGAACTGCATTAATAGAGTTCAGTAGCGTCTTCGAAGCCTTGTACAGTGATGAATTATTTTCCAATCTGCAAGCCCCATTATCGCAGGTATTTGCCATTGAAATCATTTTCAATGACAAATATTCTAAGCAACTATTCTTATTTGACAAATATTTGAAATATTCGATTTCAATGACAAATATTCTAAGGCAACTATTCTTATTCAATGACAAATATTGTAAAGGCAACTATTCTTATTCAATGACAAATATTCTAAGGCAACTATTCTTATTCAATACAAATATTCAATGACTATTCTTATTGTAAGGCAACTATTCTTATTCAATGACAAATATTGTAAGGCAACTATTCTTATTCAATGACAAATATTCTAAAGGCAAATATTCTGACAAATATTCTAAGGCAAATATTCTTAGCTCCAACAGGCCTGAACTTCACAGCTAAGAACCGCCATACCATGTACAATTCAAGAAACCACCCCCATTCCATTAATAAGGAGGATGTTTCATTAGGACAGCTTCTTCCAAGAGCCATTTTGTCCTGGAAGATACTCCAGAGTTATGGTTTTCTGGATCAGTACAATTTATTGATGGATTCATTTTTCTAAGATTTTTCAACATTTGAAGATTATTTAAAGCCAGAATATATTTTCAGATTGAAAGAATTTTTCCTTTGAGATAATAACGAAAGGGTGGTACGTATATTACTGATTAACCCATAGTGGGGGGAATGCGGATCTTCACATTTTTCAAAGGATACTTGCGCGTAAGTAAATAAAACGAACCCGAGTAGAATTGGAATTCGGCTTTCCGATTAACAATTCCCAGCCATTATCCATTGCCCAAATCGTACATCCAAGTTTACAGCACCTGATATTCCCAAGCGGTCACCCATGTAGGTACTGACCAGGATCGACGTTCCTTAACTTCGATGATCGTACGGAAATCTGCGTTTCAGCAGGATGTGGCCGTAAGCTGGACGACTACATGCTTAGTCTTCGGTATAGCCGTTATCATTCATAAATATCCTCTTCCTCTTACGTTCTATAACATCGATCATTAAACCTCTAGCTTGAGTGGCCCATGGGCCTTGTATGTGTGAACAATTAGTAAACAAAAAAAAAGATTCTGCCGATAACGCTTAATTAAAGAATTTTTAATTGCTGATATTGGTTAGTCTGTTTCTAATTTTTTTTTTCCTAGTTGTAATTTATCTTGTGTGTGACAAAGTATTTTCCACCCTTCAACCTCTCTCCTCCCACGGGATGTAGTTCGTCCGCGCACTTTTCATGGAATTTACACTATTTACATTGTTTTGGACTGCTGTCCGCATCTTCGTTGTCATATTCACGACGTTTCGGCCGTTGTTCGATCCGGACTTCTTCAGGACTTGTCTATATTTCTGAGATGAAGTATTGTAACTATTTACACTATTCACCTTGTTCGGACTTTTCTTCATTTTTGTTGCCATATTCACGATATTTCGGCCGTTGTCCGATCCAGCCTTCTTCAGAATCTGTTATATTGATGGGATGAAGTTTTGTAAATATTTACACTATTTTGTTTGGACTCTTATTTTCATCTTTGTTGCCATATTCATGACGTTTCGGCGGTTGTCCAATCCGGCTTTCTTCAGTATCTGTCTACATTTCTGAGATTAAGTATTTTATCTGTTTACATTGTTAGGACTAGTTGTCCTTTTTTTTTTTTTTTTTTTTTTTTTTGTCATATTCACGACATTTTGGCCATTTTATGCTCCGGCCATCTCCAGGTGAATGGAATTTCGAATTGAACCCTTTATTTCGTTCACCGGGGTAGTCTGATCTAGTTCCACATGCCATGCCTTTTCCGGATGTCTCAGTATCAGTTTTCTTCCTTTGATCAACTCTCCAAGATTTTGTTCACCTCAGCTGTAGGCTGGTATTGAACACACAACACTTTGGCTCTAGTCACCAACGCTTTTATCCACTGGGCCATGTGCCCTTGGCACGTGGAACTAGAACAATCTAACCCGGGGTCGAAATAAAGGGTTCAGTTCAAAATTCCGGTCATCTGAAGAAAGTCAGAGCGTACCCTGACTTAAACGTGAATATGGCAACAAAGATGAGGACAACAGTCCGAACAATGTAAAACAGTGTAAATAATTACAATACTGCATACAAATGCAATACCTTAGAAATATTGGCAAATATAAATATCATATATTATTTTCCCAGTATGCTCTTGATCTTAATCCGAACAGGATTTGAATAGAGCTGATTAGCTCCTATGATAGAAGATTAGCAAGAGAAAAATATCATTACTACGCGAATGAAGATTTGGAAAGGATTTATACCTTTTTAAAAGAACCTGCCACATTGGTTGCAAGAGATAATTGAATATGGCCACAAGGCTTCTAAGAAATGTTTTAAAAATGAGATCATTGTGAATATTTCAGATAATTATTTTTTTTAAATTCACAGAGCTCCTTTAATTATCGAAATTATCGATTATATTTTTTTAATATAAAATTTTGCCAGAATTTAGAATACGGAAAAGAAAAGATACTGCTCTGATGAACAGGCTCTTTAACAGCGAAGTCCAAATGCTCAAAATCACTTGATACATCTTGCTGCCGGTGCGAAGTAGTTTTATCACTGCTCAACAAAAGACAGAGGTTCTTGAGGGGATTTCATCTAACATACATCCCTGAGGAGAAATTGGCCGAAGACGGAATTAGTTGAAACTTGATTGGAAAGAGAAAAGGATTACAGTTTAAAAGTCGGTGGCTAATTTCTGCATTTAATAATTAGTTAGTTTTGTACATTATTTGGCTTCATAAACATCTAATAATCTGAAACCATTTAACTAATTTACTGCCTGCTGTCGAATTTCTTAAAAACAGCTTTAAATAAAATTTAAAATTCACTCGCCCCTAAATTGCACTTGGCCAACAAAGTAGATTAGAAGTGAGGAGTTCAAATTTTAAGTAAATATGATACCCTAATTGGTTAATTACCTTATTTTTTTTAATTTCCTTGGATTTCTGCTGAATACACGTTTTTTTTGTTTTGTTTTTTTTTGTTTTTTTTAAGCATTTCACCCCAAGCAAGGCGGGTAGCCACTAGGGCGCAAGGGGTTACAGAAAATTTAGAGCAAGATCGGATAGGAGTGATAGAAGAAAGGATGAGGGTAGTGGATAGATCAAGGCAACTGGAGATGTCGATTGACATTACACTTGAATAGCTGGAGATTATAGCTCACAGGGAAACAGGAAAAGGGAAGAGAGTTCCACAGGCGAGAGGTGCGAGACATGAAGCTATTAGAGTAGAAGAGACGGCTACATTTAGGAGTTTCGACAGTGAAGGGGTGAGAGCGGGATGCCAGCCTCGTAAGGCACTGGAACTCATGACGTCTGGGAACCAGCGAATGCAGCTCCTCGGAGCAATTTCCATGAATATATTTGTAGAACAGACAGAGGGAGGCGACGGCGCGTCTTTGAGAATGTGACTGTAGACGAGACGCTAGGGCAGGGCCAACCTCATTGCATATCCGCCGCTGGAGCCTATCAAGAACCCCGAGGCAAACACAAGGGGCACCAGACTATATATGGCAGCAATACTCCATGCAAGGGCGAATTGTGGATTTGTAGATCTGGAGGATCGACTCCGGGGAGAAAAAATTTCCTAGCGCGGCTCAGGGAGCCAACTTTCCTTGCAGTGGACGAGGCAATTGACTCGATGTATTTATTCCATCTCAGGTCAGCAGTCAACGTGAGACCGAGAAGCCGCAGAGAGTCGCTCTCGAGAAGTTGAGCGTCAGGCATTCTAATGAAGGTGATTAATAGAGAGCAGTTTTGTTTTAGAAGCGTTGAGGTTGACCAGCCAATTCATGCCCCAGTTCACAATCGATTGGAGGTCCTTTTCGAGACGCACGGCCAAGCGAGTTTTGTCAACGAGACTAGATTTGTTTTTGAGGCAGGAATAAATTGTGGTGTCATCCGCGTAGATGCCAACTACCTAAAGTCAGAAATAACATCATGACATTTTCCACTGAGTATTATTATAATAAAAACCAACACAAAAAAACTAAAACCACACAGATTTTACATAGTTAAAGCCCTTCGTCAGGTGTGAACCATTCTTGTGTGTATATTTTTATTTATTTATTCAAAGAATGGGCTAACAGGGATCCCTTCTATAGGAATTTTTCCATTCAAACTGAGGGCTTCAACTACGGTTAATTTGCAATGTAACACACGCGCTCAGTTCTCATTCAAAATTTCCAGAATACTTACATTTATGTGTAATTGCACATGCTCAAATTCGAATCTGACTTGATAATTTTGATAAAATATACAGTTTTGGACTTATCGACAGTGAAAGTTCGGATTCATTCGTGTCGCGGGCAGAGATTACTGGCGTTGTTTGCATACATTCACTGCAGGATAGCTATCAGTGTAGGTATCATTGCGCAAACTGAGTGTGTCTACGTAAATAGTTCTCGTGCGCAGTAATTGAGATAAATTAAGACAAGAAAGATTAGTCCCCTGCTTAGATTTCCGTAGTCTTCCGCGTTTAGCTTTCCGCAGCGAATGTATGCAAAAACGGCAATAATGGCTGTCGTCAATGACGCGAATGAATCCGAAATTTCTCTGTCGATAACTCCAAAACGGTAGATTTTATTATATTTATCAAACCAGATTCGAATGAAGCATGTACAATTACACATGAATGTAAGTATTCTGGAAATTTTTTAATGCGAACTGAGCGCGGGTGCTAAACTGTAAATTAATCCCAACAACAACTGAAATTATTGATGCCCACGTGCTGCAATTTTAAATTTCCACTTTAAATTTTTTTTATTTTTTTATTTTGATATTGTTTTTGGTAGTTCTTTAAAGATTACTGTCTGCAAGAACTGCAATGTCAATAAGAAATCACATTCTGTTTTAGTAGTCTCTGATCACGATGTCTGTGTTATTATCGTTCTATCTGTGTATTTTAAAGTCCCCCAAAATTATAAAGGTATAAGTTATAATTCCTATCACTCTAAGCCGTTCTGGGTGGTATTTATACTAATTTCTTAAAGTTTTCTTTTCCGTAAATATCACAGATTTTCCAGTACAGATATTGGCTCAATCCGTCATGTCGGGTTTTAGATTCAGTAGGTGTTAATCGCCTGCAACCTGATACAAGATGGTCAATTGTTTCTGCATATTTATCACGGGATCTGCATTTCGCGTTAACACATTTTTTCAGTATGTGTGTTTGGTAATTTCTACTTATTATTATTATTATTATTATTATTATTATTATTATTATTCAGTTAATTTCTGGTGTGTACCCATTTCTTTCCGGGTCCCGCCCAGAGACCTAAGGTTAGAAATGGCATCATGACATATTCCACTGACCAATTAAAAGAAAAAAACAAAAAAAAAAACAAACATATTTTACATGGATAAATCCCTTCGTAAGGTGTAGGCTCTAATCGTTAGAACATTTTTTTGTATTTTTTAAGGCATGGGCTTCTAGGGATCCCTTCAATGAGTCTACTTGAATCTTTTCCAACCAATCCTAGGGCTCCAACTACAACAGGGATTGTTGATGTTTCCATGCGTCAAATGTTTGAGATTTCGATTTCAAGGTCCTTGTATTTTGATAGCTTTTTTGAAGATCTTCAAAGATACATTGTAGTCTGCAGAAACTGGCATATCAATAAGGATTCACTTTTTTTGTTTGTTTGCGGTCTGGGTGGTTATGTTTTATTGTTCTGTCTGTGTCTATTGTGCAGTCCTATAAAATTGTAACAGGTCCTATCTCTGTAATTGGGTCTAGTTGGTGTTCATATCAATTTCTTTCAGTTTCCTTCCCGTAGAAGTTGCAGATTTTCCAGTGCAGATATTGACCCACTCTGTCATGCCGGGTTTTATAGTCAGTGGGTGCCAATATCGTGCAACATGATACAAGATGATCAATCGTTTCTGGATATTTATCACAGAATCTGCATTTCGAGCTAACACAATATTTTAGTATTTTTGCTTGATGATTTCTAGTTAACAAGCATTGGTCCTGTGCAGCAAGGATAAAAGCTTCCATTTCAGCTTTTAACCCTGCATTCCGTAGCCACTGATGGGTACGTGATTTGTCTACATCATCTTGTTTGCTATAGGCAGAGTATATTGGCCATGAAGCTGTTTATCTGGCCATTGTTTCTGTATCTGGTCGGTTGGTCTTTGCTTCCTTTTTTTATCTATTTTGCTGCTTCAGTCGGTGTATGGTGCTTTACTTGTATTTCTACGCCCATTTGAAACTCTATTTTGAACTTTTTTTAGTATTATTCTTATTATTGAATACATGATAAGACCCTTCAGGGTGCGAAAGTACCTCTGGATGGACGTGAGCTAGTAAATTAGTTTTAAAAATGCACGTGTCGTTCTGTTTTAGGTAATACTTACAAATCCAGATAGTCTCTTCAAACTTTTGGCCTATATTATATGTCCTTGGGTTTGTCCACTGATTAACCGAAACTAGAATTAACTACATCCTTTGAGATATTTTTTACGGGTATGACCTTTGATAACGAAGCTGTCGTCATCTTCTACACGTTCCTTTACTGTATGAACTGCAAATTTCCGTAATTCTTGCCGTACATCTATCTAGGATGTGCGGGTAGGGTAATGGTGGTCGGCGCGGCAAGTGGTAATTGGTGGAGATGAGTTCAAATTCCGAGCTGCTCTGTTGGTTCATTTCCGCAGAAATACACTTTGAATGCCTGAATCCATATTTTCTACGTATCAGTTGTTATTTAAATAATAAAGCAAGACAGGACACTCGTGGCTCGGCTAGCAACCAATTGGAGAGATGGAAAACTGCGAATTTAAAACCACGCAGACAGTATCAGTAAAAAAAAATTCACCACCATCTTTTCCAAAATCCATGGAAATCCACAGGATCTGAGGAGACTCCTGATTGCATATGTACTGAATAGACATTGCATTAAATTCATCTATCTATCTATCTATCTATCTATCTATCTATCTATCTATCTATCTGTCATATCTATATATATATATATATATATATATATATATATATATATATATATATATATATATATATATCTGTCACTCTGTCTATCTGTCTATATCTATCTATCTATCTATCTATCTATCTATCTATCTATCTATCTATCTATGTATCTATCTATCTATCTATCTATCTATCTATCTATCTATCTATCTGTCCATATCTATCTATCTATCTATCTATCTATATCTGTCGCTCTGTCTATCTGTCCATATCTATATATATATATATATATATATATATATATATATATATATATATCTGTCGCCTATCTATCTATCTATCTATCTATCTATCTATCTATCTATCTATCTATCTAAGTTTGTTCCTATCTATCTATCTATCTATCTATCTATCAGTCTGTCTAAGTCTGTTCATATCGGTCTTTCTAAATCTGTTCATATCTATCTGTTTGTCTAAGTCTGTTCATATATATCTATCAATCTATCTCTGTTCATTTTTTATCGATTTATCTATCTATCTATCTATCTATCTATCTATCTATCTATCTATCTATCTAAATCTATTTATATCTATCTGTCTGTCAGTCTGTTTAAGGCTGCTCATATCTGTGTTCATTTTTATCTATCTGTCTATCTACAGTACCACGCAGAAGTTAAGAACATATTACAAAATGTTTCTTTAGGTATTTTCTAACACAAATTAATGAAACTTTTACTGCTCATAATAAATATGTTGAAGCCTTTAGTCAAACAATCAGATTTAAGAAATAATAATCACTAAAATATACCACGAAGTAAAACTAATATCTAATTTGGCAAAATTTACAATACATTTATTAATTCCTCGTAATATTTCGTAGCGTTACCGTTATTGCTAATTCCAGCATGTAAGCGCTTAGAGTAGTCCCCTATGAATTTTTTTAATGTTTCTTGGTTAATATTTTTCCATTCTTCACAACAAAATTCCTTTAGTTCATAAAGGTTTTGCCGGGTTCCTTCTTTGAATTCTCAGTTTCAGCTATTTCCATAAAGTTTCAATTTCATTGATATCTAGAGAAAACATGGTTAAGTTCAAATAGAATAGACGTCCTTTTTAGGACGTCTATTCTATTTGAACTTAACCCTGTTTTGGTAAGCTTTTCAGCATGTTTAGGTTCGTAGTCTTGTTGAAAGACACAACTTGGTTTCAATCCCAGCGACGTAAATTTCTCATCAATATGCTCCAATCACCCACCCTTCTATTATTATTTCAATGTTCCCTATACCTTGGGCGCTAAAGCAACCCCCAGCTCATGATTGATCTGACTCCAAATTTTACTGTTGCGGTTGTATTCTTCGGTGAATATTCAGTACCCTTCTTCCTGCAGTACACCTCTTTCTACAGATCTTTCTACAGTACCCTTCTTTTTGCAGACCTTATTTTCTGCATTACACTTCTTTCTGCAGACCTTCCTTTCTGCAGTACCCTTCTTTCTGCAGTACCCTTCTTTCTGAAGGCATTTCTTTCTGCAGTACCCTTCTTTCTGCAGACCTATCTGCAATACCCTTCTTTCTGCAGTACCCTTCTTTCTATAGACCTTTCTTTCTGCAGTACCATTCTTTCTGTAGTACCCTTCTTTCTGCAGACCTATCTGCAATAATCTTCTTTCTGCAGTACCCTTCTTTCTACAGATCTTTCTTTCTGCAGTACCATTCTTTCTGTAGTACCGTTCTTAATGCAGACATTTCTTTCTGTAGTACCCTTCTTTCTGCAGGCATTTCTTTCTGCAGTACCCTTCTTTCTGCAGACCTATCAGCAATACTCTTCTTTCTACAGTACCCTTCTTTCTACTGACCTTTCTTTCTGCAGTACCATTCTTTCTGTAGTACCCTTTTTTCTGCAAACTTTCCTTTCTGCAGTACCTTACTTAATGCAGACCTTTCTTTCTGCAATACCCTTCTTTCTGTAGGCATTTCTTTCTGCAGTACCCTTCTTTCTGCAGACCTATCTGCAATACCCTTCTTTCAGCAGTACCCTTCTTTCTATAGACCTTTCTTTCTACAGTACCATTCTTTCTGTAGTACCCTTCTTTCAGCAGACCTTCCTTTCTGCAGTACCGTTCTTAATGCAGACCTTTCTTTCTGCAGTACCCTTCTTTCTGCAGGCATTTCTTTCGGCAGTACCCTTCTTCCTGCAGACCTATCAGCAATACTCTTCTTTCTTCAGACATTTCTGCAGTACTCTTCTTTATGTAGACCTTACTTTCTGCAGTACCCTTCTTTCTGCAGACCTTTCTTTCTGGAGTACCCTACAGCAATTCTTCCAAAAAAGTTCAATTAACGTTTCGTCTGACCAAAGTACATTTTCCTAAAATGCTGTAGGTTTGATAGAATGCTTTTTTTTTTTCAAAATCCAGTCTAGCAAGAATATTTTTTCGTTTAGGAAGTGTTTTTTTTTTTGGTTTGTTGTTTTTTTTTCTTGGCGTCCTCGAAAATATGTCATATCGAAGAAGTGAACGATTAATTGTATCGGTAATCACTTTTAATCCACTTACTTCTAGTCCTCCTTCAAGTTCTTTAAGCGTAACTCGGGACTCATTGCCAAATTTTCTCGCCAATAATCTTGCCGTACGTTCCGTTACATATCTAGGACGGCCAGAGCTTTTTGGGGGACGAATGGAATGATACGCCTTCCAGTGACGAACTAACGTACCAACTGAACCTAATGGCACATTCAGCTTACGAGATAACTTTCTATAACCAAGTCCATTTGTATAAAGGTCAACAATACGCTTACGGATGTCATGATCAATTATTGTGCTTTTTCACATTTTGCTAATTTTTAAAGGACGTTTGCTAGAAAAAGAATGACACAATACTTTTAATCATTCCGAAAAGTAATCCTAAAATCTGGAACGTTCTAAAACCAACCAGATCCTAATTTGGAACATTGTAATAATATTTGCACAATTTTGGACATTTTTATGAAACAAAAGCTGCTGCGAATAAAAAAAAAATATGTGTTGTAAACTTTTGAGTTACTAAATATCTTCGCGGGATTTTTTTGTGAAGATTTTAAAATATTTGATTGTTTGACTGAATACGTAAATATATGTTCTACAAGCAGTAAAATTTTAATTAATGTAACTGTATTAGAAATAACTAAAAAAAATATATTTTCTAATGTGTTGCAAAGTTTTACGTGGCACTGCATGTTCATTTTTATCTATCAATGTTCATTTTTATCTATCACTCTATCTATCTATTCATTTATATATGTTCATTTTATCTATCTATCAATCTATCTATCCATGTTCATTTTACCTATCTATCTATCCATGTTTATTTTATCTATCTATCTATCTATCTACCTATCTATCTATCTACGTTCATTTTTATCTATCTATCTGCACAAAAAATAGAAATCTTATATGAGGGCGACAGTTCAATTCATGTTTATCTATCAATCTATCTATATATGTATTTATCCATGTTCATTTTATCTATCTATCTCTACTGATTTTGTTGCTAACTCATTCAGATCCTATCTATCTATCTATCTATCTATCTATCTATCTATCTATCTATCTATCTATCTATCTATACTGATTTTGTTGCTAACTCATTCAGATCCTATCTATCTATCTATCTCTACTGATTTTGTTGCTAACTCATTCAGATCCTATCTATCTATCTATCTCTACTGATTTTGTTGCTAACTCATTCAGATCCTATCTATCTATCTATCTATTCTGTTTCTACCTCATTCTGATTCTTTTTTTTCTTTCTTTCTTTTCTATTCTGATTCTCATTTGATTCTATATCTATCCATCATTCTGATTCTATCTATCTATCTATCTATCTATCTATCTATCTATCTATCTATCTATCTATCTATCTATCTATCATAGTTTATATAATTATTTTCTCAGACTCATAAGCAGTGAGGTAATCTTTATTCCCTTCCCAAACTAACGTATCATTTTCAGGCTGTGTCTCTTTAATCCTTAGGCGATTCTGGTTTGACACTTTACTCACTTTTATTGTCTGAGAATCACCAAAACTTATTGGGAAAAATATTAGACTGATTTCTCGTTGCCTTCTCCGCAAATTTTTTTAATCCTGTTTCTGCAATTGCTGTCAACCAAGTCAAGGGAGTCCAACAGACTCTGCTATTTAATTCATAGCTGAGGATGGGGTCTGGAGAAGATAGTGAATTCACAGTCGCTTACGAAGTCTTTTGGTGGTGGGGTAACTAAATTCAGCCTTTTTTTCCTACGGATGTAAACTCGCAAACCTGTTATTTCTCTATCACTGCAAATGTCTTTCCCAAGGAATTTGTTGCATGCAGAAGAAAACGGAGTAAGCAGAATGTGAACTTAGAACGTCGACTCAATTTTTTGCACCGATAACAGTTACACTACCTGCGCATTCATAATAATACTTAGTATCCACCCCCAAAGAGCAAAACGATTAAAACGCAAGCTAGATATACTTTAACCAATTGTGTATAATCCGAGATCAGCTTCTGAATAATACTGGTAGACCTACCGTATTTGAATATTGCATCATCTTCGACATATGTTATAGGAAATAAAAATTGTATTTATTGTTTTTTTTTTTTTGCACAAAAGCTATCCCAGAATGGCGAGAAAAAGAAAAAAAAAATATCAAATAAGATTTAGAAATTCTTCTTTCGTTTTTGTTCAGTCTGAAAATGTATGATTTTAACCTCTTCAAAAACCTTAGCCGTGTTTAGTACGATCCCCTGTTTTTTTTAAAAAATGAGTCTATCGGAACCGTTTCCAATCAAATCGAGGGTTTCAACTACAACTGAAATTATGGATGTCCTCATGTGCCACATTGTTTTAGATTTCCTTTCAAGATCTTTGTATTTTGATAGTTTTGAAGATCTTCAAGATACATTATAATCTGCAGGGCCTGCCATGTCGATAAGAAAGCATATTCTGTTTTTGTGGTCTTTGATCACATTGCCTCGGCTATTATTATTATTATTATTATTATTATTATTAATATTATTAATACATGCATGGCTATAAAGTAGGGGATGCATAAGTGTTTTTCCAATTCTTTGTTTGTCCCATCTTTATCCAGTAATCCACTGCAACTCAGTTATGTGTTATGCGTAATACATGCTTAGGTGATCATGTATCTTTCGATACATGACATGACATAACTGATATGACTGACGAGGCCAATTTTTTTTCCCGTAATGTAGGTTACCATTTCTTTCTGCGGTAGACCAGTTACCATCAAGGTTATAGAAACCGGTCTGTCCTCGCTAGGGAGAAGAAGAGGATTCATACCTTTCCCAAGAGTATTAGCACGTAAATGAATGTAATAGATTCGACTGCAATTAGAACTCGGCTCTCCGATTCCTCAGTCCGAGACGATTTCCATTACTCCACCGTGCCTGCAACTAGAACATTGATAAACCGAGATTTTGCAGTTTTCAGAACTTTTGACACTAGGAATGATCGGTCTGAATAGCAAAATCCCAGAGTATTTTATTGTTTTCTTTTGCAGTTTTCAGAACTTTACGTTGGACTCTCTCAAAGCCCGGCACTAACACGATCTGTTGCAGTTGTTATACCCCGTTTGGTAAGACGTGCATGCGTTAAGAACCCAGTGGTTAACCTCTTCAGCAATGTGGACACTCGTAATAAATAAGGGAGAGCAAGCGTATTTTTAAGTTTTTCCTTTCAGAGGAAGGATACAAATCTCTGTGCACCCAGAAAATGAAACCTGGCCTTAACACTGGCCTTAGAACTGACCTAAAGACTGGCCCTAAAACTGACCCCACTCCTTCAACACTTTACTCACTCATTCATCTTTTCGCCCATGAAATAAATCAGTCCAACTATTTACTTAGGGATTATATCTTAGAGGAATTAAATTTACTTTTTAAGGGATTATCTTTTACATTTAGAGGGATTATTTTTCTTCTCTTACATGGATTGTCATTCAAAAGAATTATCATTTCTTTTTTGTACAGAGATTCTCTTTTTCAGTGATTATTAATTAAAGACATTATCTTTTCTTTTTTTTTACATTGGATTATTCTTTACATGGATTATCTTATGTTTTTCAATAGATATACATACATATACATAGATTTTCAATACCAGGATTATATTTTACAGGGATTATCATTTACAGGAATTATATTTCTTTTGTCTACAGAGATTGTTTTTACAGGGGATTATCCTTTACAGGGATTATCCTTTTTACAGGGATATCATTACAGGAAGGATATATTACAGCGATTATCCAGCGATTATTATTTACAGGGATTACGTTTTCTTTTTCTTTACAGGGATTATCTTTTACAGGGGTTATTTATGATTTTTTTTGAAAAGCGATTATTTTTTACAGGAATTATCATTTAAATGGATTACTTTTTTTCTTTTTCTTACATGGTGACCACTTTTACCGGCCTAATCTTATCTTCTTTACGTGGATTATCTCATTCTGTTCATTATTTTGTTTGTTTTATCAATGTATTAAGAAATAGAAAAAATTATGAGAAACAAAAGAAAAGGGTGCTGAAATATTGTTTAATATCTGCCCTTCTGTAGGGCAGTGAATGCTGAAAAATCTCCTCACCGATGCAGAAGAGACTGGAAGCAATAGAAATGTGGTTCTACAGAAGAATGCTGAGGATATCATAGATCGTAGATCTGAGCAACAGAAATGTAGTTCTACTGCTGATGATACCAAGGACTGAATATATGAACAGCAGGGAAGTTTTAGAGAAAATGGAAACAAAAGGGACACTTTTATTTAACATAGGAAAGTTCTAGGGTACATAATGAAGAAAGAGGGCTTAGAAAATTTGACACACACAAGACATATTGAAGCCGAGAAGGACAGAAAAAAACAGCGCATAACCTACGTAAAGACCTTGTGTAAAAGATGGCAGAAGAGGGATTAGGAGAGATAGCAAAAAGTCTAGAAAGTTGAGGAGGACCATGATCACCCGTGGGGTGATGGGACACGGAACATATATTCTGGATAGGCAACAGCAGTTCCTTCAGTACAGTAGTAGTTTTATTTTAATTTTCTTTTCTTTGCAATCTATGAGATGTTTGAGATGCCAGGTCAAGGATATAGCAGCATTTTTGTGTTAGGATCAAAAGTGACAGGATCTAATGACCATTCTCGAATATAACGGTCAGTGTGGAATGTACAGAATGGATATTTAAATTTTGATTTGACCTTGCTCATGACTTTTATTTGTTTTGTCATACACAAACAGATGGTACACTTTCCAAGTATCTCGATTCAATGATGATTGCCGAGAAACAAATTAATTGAACG